TTTTTTTTTTTTTTTTTTCCATCCTCACCTGAGGATATTTTTTCCATTGCTTTTCAGAGAGAGTGGAAGGGAAAGAGAGACATATCGATTGGTTGCCTCTGGCATGAGCCCCTACCAGGGTCGGGATCGAGCCTGCAACCACTGTGTACATGCCCTTGGCTGGAATCAAACCCAAAACCCTTTAGTCCACAGGCCAACACTGAGACTAGACTAGAACCAGATGCTTTTGACTGGCTAGTGAGCAGTGACATCTTGCTTTGACTAATGGATATGAGGGAATTGGGACTTTGGGAAACTTTCAAGTCTGATTGAGGAAACTGGAAGTACATGAATGTTGGACCAGTCCAAGAGTTTCTGATGGCAGAAGGTGAAGCTTCTGGTGAAAGGGGAGGGATTGGAATGTGATTGCATCTCTGTTCTGTCACTAGTGACTATTTCCTTCAATACCTTTAACTTTTTGAGGTTCTTTCACACAACTGAGCATATCTACCTTGACTGAGATGCTTTGTGAGATGTGCACCATGTTAGCAGTTTCAAGAATCAGAAATGGGGGGTGGGAGGGCGGTGTTCTATTAAAAAAAAAAAAAAAGAAAAAAAAGTTGAGCCCTAGCTGGTTTGGCTCAGTGGTTAGAGCGTCAGTTGGTGGACTGAAGGATCTTGGATTCGATTCCGAGCAAGGGCATGTGCCTCAGTTGCAGGCTCCATCCCCAACAACCGATCGACGTGTATCTCTCACACTGATGTTTCTCTCTTCCTATCTCTCTCCCTTCCACTCTGTGATGGAAATTGAAAAAATATTCTTGGGTGAGAATTAAAAAAACTGTTGAGTGATTTGTCAATTACTTTATTGGCTGACCTGGAGCTAGAATTCAAGAGATGAGATTCATCCCTTTAACCAGGCAGTGGGTGGGAGTGAAGGAACATGATCCACCATCTTATCACATGCAATCAGTGGGATCAGTTTACCAGGTCATGGAGTCGCCACATTGGGAAGCATAAAAATGGAATGAGATAGGGGAGGGATCAACTTTGGTGGGAAGTGGGGAGCATGGGAGCTGGGCAGGCCCTAGAAGGAGGACACGGGAGGGGGTCCCATCCTCAGCTGACCTTATACCCCCTACAGAGCTCTACAGTTACTAAAGGGCTTTCACATCCATCACTTTCCTGGCTCTTTACAGGGTACAACTGCAGG